CCCTCAGCCTTGGCAAACTGCATGGAGAAAATTAAGCATCCAATTTTTTATCTTATTCTCAAGATCAACCAAATGAAACTTTTGTGTCGATCCTAAAGCAATGTAACCATCCGGCTCGACCTTGAAGAACATATAAGAAAATAACTCTCAGGACTAGGGGATCTCCATTTGCCAGCAACATATCATGAATGTTATAACAGCCGCAATTGACTTCAACTTTATTTGCACATGGATTACTTCATAATAGTCAGGATTGTTCGAATCTCGGGGCAGAAGGGTAGCCAAAGTCCCACCGGAATTGGTCTCTATAGAAAATTAGATCCTTACTGAAATCTTCGATCGCCTGAGCTTTTGTCCCCCACAGCTTCGAGCCTTGTGTTCGAAATATACATGTAAGTGCCTTCAAGCTAATCAACGTCGAACAATGAAAGATAAGACATCATATTCGCTGGCATCGAACCTAAGAGAAGTATTTGGAAGCCATGCTAACTAACAACAATGAATTGATCCAAGGAGAGACAAAAAACGACTGAAGGGAAAGGAAGGTAGAATTTATAAACCACAAAAAACTTTTTACTCTTTACCCTTATATATAGGGTAACAAGGAAACCAAAATGTCGCAGATCTGTGCATCGATGTTCGGAAATTTACATCAAATCAATATAATATTCGAGAAAATAAAATGACTGATAAGATTTTGAAAATTCGCAAAATAAAATATTTTCTTATTTATTCAAGATAAAAATATTTTACACTGGATTCTTCAGTTGCTTTGGTCGATACAAGACCTCGACTCACTAAACTTTGTTATTGTGCTCGCCCCCAAAGTTAAGTCTCTCAAAGCTCTCCTCCTCCGCCCGAACCCGGAGGATCGAGCAAGTCTCTGCCAGTTCCATTCAGAGAGTCGCCATGTCCGCCCGGAGGGCCTCCAACTCTAATGTATGCTTCTGATGATGGGCTCCTAGCTCTTCCTTCAAATTCTTTATGGCCACCTCCCTTTCTAGGCTAGCCTCCTGAGCGAAGGAGTTTTTTGTCTCGTCCATGTGCGAGCCAGGATGCTGGCGATTCTCGCTGCCCGTTAGTCTCCCTTTCAACATCCCCATGATGGCCAGACAAATGACCAGCCACACCTCTTCCATGGGTTAGAGCCGACGGTCCCTCGCTCGCCTTTGAAATAGGAATTTGGTCGACTCCCATCATTGATGAGTCGATGATTTGAACAGTCACATCTGCAGAGTAATCAAGTTTCATATAAAATAATGATGCATTTCCTCAATCAAAGAGAACCGGGTTTCCTCGTAGCAAGGATCCGATCCACTTCAGAAAATTTTGAAAGATGAAAGGTTCTCACCGAGAAGCGGTTGAACGCCCGTCTAGCTAGTTTCGCTGACCGGTGAAAAGGAAACTGGCTCCCCACGCTGTGGGATCTGGGCCTCAACAACCTGGACAGGTTGATGGGCCAACACTTCATTGATCGGTGTAGGGGCAAGGACATCAGGTCTGCCCTGATACCCATCTCTCGATGGAGCAGAATTGAGTCAGATGAGTCAACCTCTTCGTCCTGCACCTCTACCCTTTGCTTCTTATGGGCCCCATGTTTAAATTGTTTCTCTCCTTTTGAACAACTCCCTCTTTTTGGACTCTTTGTATCGATCGATCAAATATCTCCCTTCGACCATTTTGCTATTATGGGCCAGTCCTCATCCTTTGACTCCTTTGCTGCGATTCGGCTCCCCTTTGATTTTCTCATCTCCTCGACATCTTTTGATTGGCAAACTTTTTCAATAGCAAGTCCAAAGCCCTTCATCATCACCGCTTCATTCACTGCCTCCATCGAAGCCTTCTTATCACTCGCTATAAACATGTCTCCTGCTGATAACCGGTTGAAAGGTGGGGAGCTGAGAAAAAGTGAGGGAGAAATGTTAATTAAGCCTTATTTATAGAGATTGCAGGCACCAAAATCAAGAAAGTTTAATTATTGATTGTACTTATTACGCAACAAATAAATCTATTTTTGCATTTAATTTTCTTATCCTTATTGTAGCTATTGCTTTCAAGAATAAAAGAATCGAGAAACTAAATATGTGCATAAAAAACATATTAGCATAAATCTTGAGGAAATCCAACGGGTCCTATTGACAAACACCAAAGAACACTGTCGAGATAGTCAAAAAATGAAAATATCAAACGCCACTTCCTTCAGTCAAAACTCTAAGCCAACTGAACGAAAGGACAGTGGAACGAAGAGATAGGAGCCCAATCCAAAGGGCAGTCATTCATGACTAGCTCTCTCAATCGATTCCGGAGCTCATAACAAAATGGCCAAAGCGCCTCTCACGAAACATCTCTTTAAGCCTTTAAGAAGGCTCTTTGTCCAAGGAGGATTGCCCGTCATATTATGGTGGTACACGCTCTGCCCCTCGGTGTTCCAGTTTATCCTGACAACAAGAGCACCTTTCCTCAAAATTTTGCCTTGACTTTCAGTCGAGCGATAAGGTTGTCCTGTTTATCTTGACCGGCCGAATGTCTTCTGGCCGACCAGAGTCTTCCATTCAATCGAGTTATAAGGCTGTCAGGTCATCAATTCCCCTATTCAAGTGGTTATGAATGTGAGAAGGTGCCAAAATAGGTTATGAATATGAAAAGGTGCCATAATAACTTGTAATGCCTTTATTAAAACATGACAAGCATGTAATTGTACATAGGGTACCCTCAAAATTTATAAATTGGGGGCCATCTCTACAATAAAAGACTACTGATTCACCCTATCTGAACTCTCGCATTTACTACGCACACACACACTCTCTCTTTCTCGTTCTCTCTGTTTCTCCTTACCGTCCTGCGCTCTATTCCTTGAGTGTGATTCACTGGACAAATCTGTGTTCAATAATTTATTTTTTATCGAGATGCTATGATTATGATTATTATAATATTCAACCTTAATGACCCTAGTACAATGTGAATGAGATTTTTGAAGATATGAAGGCCATCAATCTATGTTTGACTTTGAGGGTGGTGTGAAAATAGTTTACTTCCGGAATCATTCAATTGTTCGTGCAGTTACTGTCGCTGCAATAATAGTGATTGCTTTGCTACATAAGATTGTCATAGAAAGAAAAAGATATAATCGTCAACGGAATATTCAACGTCAAATATATCTTTTTAGATTATATAAGGACATTGATTTTGATTGCATTGATATTGTGCGGATGAGAAGAGAACTTCTCAAGTTATGTTATATAATGCGTAAAATAAGATTACTCATAGACATATTTAATATAAAAATTGAGGAACAAAGTGTTATATTATTGCCTACATTAGGATACAACGTTTGTAATGGAGTCATCAAATTCAATTTTCAATGATCCAGGGAAATTGTTGGTAAATACTCCAACACTGTATTAAGAGCTAGAGGAAAACTTCTCCGTGAAATGGTTTAATCTCTACAACTTTAAATTGACTTGAAGATAGACTTAAATATAAGCTTATATCTTTTTCTTAGGTAGAATAATATTTCATATTTTGAAATATTTTTTACGATTAGTTATTTTTCTAATATAATTTATTTGAAAATAGGATTGTGTTGGTGTTATAAGATGGAAGCCACTTTAAAGCTAGAGTGCCTAGGAGAGTGAAGCTACATTTAGAGAAAGAAAATCATATTCAACCTAGAATGCCTTGGCAATAGTGGATTTTGAATTGAGATTCATGTGTATTTTAGCTTGCTGGGAAGGTTTAGCACAGATATAATAGTCATTAGAAATGCAGTTAAAGTAAAAAATGATTTATTGATGTTTCAAGTAAATATTATATGACTGATGGTGGCTATTCCGCTCGAAATGGTTTTATTTTTCTATCTTGCAATAAGATATCACTTTAGAGATTTTAGTTCTAGTCGGTCTACAAATTATAAAAAAATATTTAATTTTGCTATTGTGGCACATGCATTTGGTTCGTTAAAGAAGTGCTTTATAGTTTTGAAGTCAGAGCCTTACTTTTTATTACAAACTCAAATTAACATTGTGCTAATATGTTGAATTCTACACAATTAGATAATTACAAAAGGTGATGATGAGTGGGTAGAAAGAAGTCACTACAACAGGATAGTTCTATCAATTGTAGGTGACTCTCGGGATTGGTTAGATAAATTACTTATGCTATGTGGAAGCACATTATTAATGATGGTTATTAACAATTTTTTTTCTGCTTGGAGGCTTTGTTTGTTTTGTTGTTGACAAGTGAAGTATTATTTTGTAATTGTTTACAACAATTTAGTACATGATATCTGCAATAACGTTTATTTTAGTTTGCATCTTCACATTGGTTAGTTTATGTTATCAGAGATGTATTTTATTTTTCTCTTGGCTTCTTACATGCATTTAAGTGGCGATTTTTTTTTTTGTTGTATTTAATTCCTTTTTAACAGTTTGTAGGTTTTTTTTAATTTAGTCCGATCATTTGCAACATCCCTTTCTCTTATTTATTTTAGCTTTGAAATTATTATTGTCTTCTCTTATGTGATGCAAGACATGAATGTTGACGAACTTTTTTTTCATTATATTATTTTTATTTTGATGCAACATATAAATGTTATCCATTTATATAGGTGTTTTTTTCTTGGAGTCACTTCATTTAACTAATGCTTCTAAAACTTGTAAAAAAAGATTGCATTTCTTTTAGCTTAAAGCCAGAATGGATTACGAATTCTATCAGAATGTGTATGCAAATATGAGAAGTGTTCAAGTTTTTAATGATGTCTATCAAATTGTTGCACAAAAATTAAAAGAAAAATTTGCAATTGATATAACAGCCTAGCAATGCAAAAATCAGCTCAGAAAGAAGTCTTGATTATCATTAGATGATAATAAAAAAATGATTTTGATGGGGCATGAGGAGTATGTGTCACACATTCAAATATTTCTTTTTAGCAATTATCATTTTCAATATATTCATATTAAAAGATGGCTAATATATCGTTATGAATGTTGGCTTCTTTGAAGGATGCAACTTATCCGAGTATCCAATCGCAAGTTATCTGAAGTTGAAGAAAATTTGTGGTGAAGAACATATAACTCGAGAGTGGGCTAAATCTGAGAATTTCTAGGTTTTACCGAGAGATGTTGATACAACACAAGCTGGTAATGGTCGTTTTACAGATATTGAAGAAGTTTCGACAGGAAAGTTAAAGCAATCAATGCCTTCATCTTCAAAAGGAGATATTTAACAAAGGAGTGTCTGCTGTTGATCACAATCTTCGGAGTATATTATTATGATGACAGATAGTGTCAGACAAGTTGCCAACTCATTCCAAAGCACAATAAGAGATTTTGAGGAAAGAAAAATGCTTACAAAACTTTTGGCGAAATTCTTCGTGGAAGAGATGGACAAAATATATTATGATGATTTGTCAAAGAATTCTACAATGTTTTGTTCTTTCCTTTCAAAACCTGTGCAAGCTAAATGAATGAGGAAAGAGTTAGAAAATTGAGTATGTACTGTCAGATTTGTTGGTGGATTTGTCACTCTAACTATATATTTCGGCATTTTGAGATAGAATTTTGATTTTGATGATTGTATTGTCATATTTGGGTTTAGAAACTTTTATGTTTACATATAATCTTGGCTCAAATTATCACATTGTTCTCATTAAATACGGAATGCCTAACGAAACTCTGGATTTTATCTTCACTTCATTTTGGTGAAATTGGCATGATTTGTTAATACTTTCAAGTTGGTTTACACACCAACCGATTTTTATGTGTTTACATATCTAACATTTAAACTTTGCCTTCAGGGCGTTTTGGCATTTTTAATGTTGAGCATGCTTTATTCATCCACATGTGTTTTTGGTATTTAGGTATACAAATTTGGATAATATAATAATTATATAACATGAGAATGTTTTGTTCAATTAGAAAAATTGTTTCATGTACCATTTATTTGATCTTGTTAGTAGGACATCAATTTGAAACCGATAGGATAGGGTTCAATCTTTGCCATTATGTACTATTTTTTCTCTATTCGTCTTTTTATTTTGGGAATTCTCCAGTTGCCTTTGTTGTAGTGATTCATCATCTTTTCCTTAAACATAGTAATGTTGAGTTGAATATGAAATGCAAGATTTTTTTGATTGACCAAAATGCCGTTTATTTATTTTTGGAAGATTTTCATACATACCACTCAATTTCTACGCACATACCATTTTATCCATGCATGTAAAGGTATACGTCACTTTTTAACATTAAAATGGCTGTATTATTGAGGTGATATGAAAGACTTGGGTGGTATAAATGTAAAAATAACAAAATCTATGCGTCAGATATGTAAACACAGGAATTGGGCAGTGTGCATGTAAATGCCCCCCATTTTCTTATCCATAATATTGTGCTACTGCTGTAGGCTTTAGTTATTCAGTATGCTATTATTGGAGACGCACGAGGGGAGAACTGTTATCTTTAGCTAGAAATGATTGTTCTTTTCAGTTTTGTTTGCTAGCAAAATCTTACGATACCAAGAAGACATTCTAATCCAATTATGCACTTCCAAAATTATTGTTTTAAGAGTTTTATCCAATTCTTTTAAATGAAACTAGAATTCAGAGCAGCTCCCATCCTAAGAATGAACTCACTGGACATAATGAATCCCTTGAAAATTCATTAAATAACTCCAAATCAGGCTTCTTCTTCTCAAGGAGGCAGCATATCTACAATGACTCTTTTCGAGGCAAATTGTTAAGAACACAAAATCAAATGTCCGTGAAATATATATACCCACAGGTTACAGCCGTATACACCGAAATTAGAAGTATAGAAATGGAGCTTCGGCTGCACTGAAATTAGAAGCAATCTAATTCACAATTTGAGGGAGGGTTGGGCTGAGGAATGCAAACATTTCCAAAAGGAAAAAAAAACAAAAAAAAATCTTTTAAAACTATTGTACGATGCCTTTCATCTATTGAAAAAATTCAGAACTCCATTCATGTTCTTTCCGATTAATATCCGGATTCTCAGCATTAGCAAATGCATGGTATCGTCTTGTCGAGGATGTCGTGGAGGCGATTGTTACCTTCCCATTTGAGCTGCTATCCGAATCATTTTACTCGGCTCCTCCCAAATGTCATCAAGGACAAGTAAAAACATCTTAGAAGTCACCTTAACACCCTTTTCGAAGTGTATCAAGTGAATTCAAATCAAGCCTTTTTATTTATAAGAATTGAGTGACATATTTGTAAACGTTCAAGTTTAGATGTTAGATATGTAAACAAATAAGAATTGAGTGGAGTGTAAAGAAAAATTAAAGTTTAGCTGTTAGACATGTAAATAAATAAGAATTGAGTGGTATGTATGTAAATGTTTATTCAAATTTCAAGCAAGTTTGAGCATAACCTTCTCTGTGCTCTTCAAGTGGGATTAATTTTGATAACTTTATCTATTCTTACCAATATCACTGTGCGTCTAAAGGGCAACTTTCATCTCAGAAAATATTATCTTACATGAATTTTTAGAAACCCATATCTTGATTGATTAGATCAAAAGATTAGTGATCCAGGCATTTGCATGCAGGGTTGAATATGACAGTAGTTTTATTTTTCTCATTGGTTTTAAGTATTTGCATTCTTCATCTTTCAACAAGGATTTTATGTCAAGCCGACTGGTGGATTTCATCTATGAACTGATAAACATTGTAATACTTCTTGCTTACATTCAAATGCTGTCGAGGCTGAACAATCATCTTAAATTAGGCCGAAGATTCAGACAAATTCATATGCTTGAATAATCTTCTCAACTTTTTTTTGCATCGGGATGGCTGAGGCTAGTATAATAGCCTCAGACCATTCCATACCGATGGAAGGTGTTTTAGGCTCCATCCATCATTTAAATCCGATAAGAGTCCCTGATACACTCTTCCTCCACCCGAGTCTTTACCTGTGCCTTTACAAGCTGATGAACCTGCACCTACTGTGGCTGATGAGGGCCTCCACTATGAGCCAACTGATCTTGGAGAGCAATCCTTGTTGGAGAAAGTAGACATCATTCCTACCACTTTTGAAACAAATATCATCTCCCTTGTTGAGGCTGTAGTGACAGATTTACCAGATCTTCCAATCCAGGCTGATCAGAAAAAGAATCCACAACATACTGCTCTACTTGACTCCACCGATGTTCCCATTTTTGTGATGCAACAAGAACTGGAGACTGATTGGCAGATTCAAAAAGCCAGGAGAAAAAAGAAAGTTCAGATGGAGGGAAAAACCTCCTTAGATGATACTCTTATCATTGAAGCTGGAAGCTCTTATTTCCACAAGGAGGGAGTCCCTGACCAGGCTCACTAGGGGTAAATCCAAACCATCTCATCATGATTAATCTCTTATGCTGGAACATTAAGGGGATTGCCCACCCCCACTCTTTAAAAAGACTTCAACATCTCGCTAGGAAATACAAATTTTGGTGTTTGTCCATCTTGGAACCTTTGGTTCACAAAAAACTCTAATAAAATCAAAAAATCTTTCCCCGATTTTGACCTATGGGTTAATTGCAGCAATAAGATTTGGTTCTTTTCTAGAAAGGAAATCAAATGTTCCTTATTAATTAATCACCCCCAATTTCTTCACTTCTCTTTTGACATGTCAGGCACCATAAGATATATTAATTCTATCTATGCAGGTCGCACTAAATCTGACAGGGAAGAGCTCTGGTTTAATCTGCATTCCATAGGTTCATCCATATCCTCTAGCTGGTTGGTTGGGGGTGACTTTAACTGCATTTCATCTCCCACTAAAAAAAAGGGTGGCAGGTCTCCTAATCTGGCACTCATGACTAAATTCAGTGATAATATCAAGTTGGCAGGTTTGTTTGACGTTGGCTTCTTTGAATCTTAGTTCACCTGGAGAAGGGGGAATCCTTGTGAAAGGTTGGACATATTCCTTCCCAATGATCACTAGTTCCAAATCTTTCTGCACACTTTTGTTACCCATCTTAACTTTGCAGGATCTGATCATAAATTTTTGCTCCTTTCAATTAATGCATCCCTTTGCACAGGCCCTAAATCCTTCAGATATTTGATTATATGGTCTTCCCATCCAGATTTCCTCCATACCATTTCTGCCATTTGGAAAGATATTTCTCATCCTAACCCTCTTGTCAAACTTTGGTTCCTGCAGAAAAAGGTCAGTAAAGTGCTCAAACATTGGAACTGGTCTACCTGTGGGGATGTTTACAGGTTGGTGGAAACTGCTGAGCATGATCTACTTCAATTAAAAATGCTAATACTGTGAATGAAGCCTCTATTTTTGCAGCCAATCAAAAGTTCATTACTACCACTGCTTGGTTTGAGAGTTTTCTCCAATAAAAGGCTGCCATCAGCAAATTCATAGAAAGGGACAGGAATACTAACTACTACCATGCTAGCATCAAATATAAGAGGAAGTGTAATGTCATTCATAACATTCTGAATTCTAATGACATCCATATTCATGATGGTTCCACCATTGCACAAGATGCTGTGGATTATTTCCAGGGAATTCTGCACTCACCTCCTTTGAGAACGCAACTGGACTTTTTTTCTTGTTCCAAGAGGAGACAACCTATGTCAATACACTGCACCCAGCTGATATTCTTACTGAAGAGGAAACCTGGGGTGTTATCAATAACATTGATGCTGGAAAAAGAGCTAGACTAGATGGTTTTACTTCAGATTTCTATAAGAAAACCTGACACATTGTTGAGGCTGATGTGATCCAAGCAATACAATTTTTCTTCAGTGGGAATGCCCTTCCTAGTTGTTTCAGTGCATCTAATATAGTACCGATTCCCAAATCCTTCAAAATCTCTCAGTGGCAGCACTTCAGACCTATTTCCCTCACCATTATTTTTAGTAAAATTTTTAGTAAGATAATTGTGAAAGTTTTGAAGCCTCATCTATCCCATCTCATCAGTCCCAACCAGGCTGCTTTTATCACTGGGAGATGTATTGGTGATAGTGTACTATTGGCTCAAGAACTAGTGACATAGATTGATAGGCCTTGCAGAGGGGGAAACAACTTGATTTACAAACTTAAACTTGATGTGAGGAAAGCATATGACACCATCAACTGGGATTTCATCTTGGACACTCTGAGGGTTAGGGGTTTTCCCCCAGTATCTGTGATTTTATATCAAGGTGGCTGCAAGGTAATGCTAATTCTATCCGCATTAATTGTCGGGCTCATGATTTCTTCACTAATAATAGGGGACTTAAGCAAGGAGATCCACTATCCTCCACTCTTTTTATTTTGGCAATTGATTATTTTTCCAGGCTGCTTGATAATAAAATTTCCTCCAATCCCTCCAATTTGTATCACCATAGGTTTAATCTGCCAGTGAGTCATCTCCTGTATGCATATGATATCATCTTGTTTTCTAGGGCTACCAAGGCTGCTGCCAAGCAAATTATGTAATGCCTTGAGGATTTCCAACAGTGCTCTGGCATGGAAGTCAGTACCACCAAACATACCTTACTGTTTAGCTGCAAAACTAAGGACCATTTTAAACAGTGGATACAATGGGTCACTATGCGCCTCCCTTCAATTATCTTGGGGTCCCTCTCATCAAAGGAAGGGTAAAGAAGATGCAGTTTGACAATGTTATTACCAAGATGCTGGACCTGTTCCTTC